TGTACTGAAGATTTTGAAAGAGAAAGACTAGATCGTGCTGCAGCTCAATCAGCTAGAAGTGTTCTACAGGAAGAGAATAATCAATTAGTGACAGAGAAACAGAGTCTGACAGCCCAGGTTAACAGAATGAAACGTCAGGTATTTATATAATCTTTTTATTCCTATGTGTCCTTTGTGTACTTATTTCTGAACACTATAGCAAATTATTTGTCTTGGATTTTATTTTCATATCATCTGAATTCAGAAAATTTCAAGATAGTAAACAATGGCTATATTTCAATCTTCACAGAATCTGATGTACTTCTCATGAATTTTTTTCTTCTTCAATTTAAGTCGTGTTGATATTTATAAATATAATATTTGCTGTAGTACTGCAGGTCTATTCATAATTTTGTAGTACCCCTTCCATTTATATTTTGGTTCAATCTGTTTTAGCTTCAAGATATAGAATTAGAACACACAAGACTTAAATCTGATAATGAAAATCATCAAACTCATATCTCTACATTGAAAGCAGAGGTAGATAATCTCTTTATAACATAGACTTAGATGCCTAGTTTGGGCCAATTTGCAATTAATAAAGAGAAAGAGATAGTCTATTCTGCATAACCATCATTTACTCAGTTTTAGTGTTAACTGAGACTTTGAATAATGCTGGGTACTCCTTATATATAGAAATGTTACCCCTTTGAAGACTAACAGATCATGAGAGCAGATTTGATTTCCTATGGTTTATTTTTAATGGTTATTAACTATATTGACATGGTATAATGTTTTAATTTGAAAATAATATTTGTAATAAATATATTTATACCCATACTAAGCATGTCCATGGTTGGTCATTGATGCAAAGGTTGTCTTAATATGAAGATGTGTAAAGCTGTGAGAATTTTAAGAGGCTTCTAGGTGATTAAAGCTTGATCAAAATTGGATTTTTTAGAATCAGAGTTTAAGAGGTCAATTACAATCAGCCCGGGCTCATAGAACATACAGCCAGGTTCAGAATAATACACCACCAATGAGAGAGTCTGTACATCTACCTAATCCTATATCACCTCATGTACAAGCAGGTATATATTATACTTTTTTATGTTATCACAGAATACATGTAGCATGATTTATCATATATATGCTTGATGTATAACCTTTGATCCATCAGGCCTTTATTCCAAAAAAAAAAAGAAAATTCTTTTCACAAACCATTGCATTAGGAGGAAATCACTGATTGGTAAAATTGAACTATGACATTAGTAGGAGTAAAGTAAGCCTATAAGTTTTTGATGTTGGAAAGAAAAAACACTTGACATATACCATTGAATATTATTCTTCAATTGAACAAAGTAGGGAGAATATATAAATATTTGTTTATTCTTTTAGTTCCAAGGACAAATAATGTAAAATCAAGATACCCCAAAAACCCATCTTTAGAACATTTGCCAGGAGCATGGACCTGTGGTCGATGTACCTATATCAATTACCCTGGTAGAACAGTGTGTGAAGTGTGTGGCTGTATTACAGGTAAATAAAATATTTTACCATTGTAAAAACTAGCTCTCTACAATAGTTAACAGAAAAATGTTTTGTCTTACTGTGAAAAATCTATAGATAACTTAACAGCTTGTTTAGAAAATATTTTTCCTGGCTGAACAACTAATTCAATAAAGTATTCTGAAAGATGATTCATATTTTCCTATTTTATTTTCAGAGAATGGTAATCATCACATGCAGGTATTTTATTTTAACTTTTATCCATCTCAGATTTATTTTTCTAAAACATCAATACAATAGTAAGGATACAGTTGAGTCAGTGAATTATACAGTATTTATTTACCATATAATTGTGAATATAGTGCACACCATTTCTTAGCCTCAAGTGATGGGGGAGTTAAGCTTGTAGATGTGATGATGAGAATTTATATCTGAAATATATTTCAGCAGCATGAGATGTGCTCATTTCAATTAGAATCTAGGATTTGTCAGATCTATGAAATCCTGATTTTGCAATGAAATTATCCTAAACAAACAGGATATCTTGAAACCACTTGACATTTAAGGGTAGTAAGAAGGTGACTTTTGTGTGTGCATCAAAAAATATTTCAAACGAAAATTATTTCAGGGTTTACAGCCACGTGGACCTCTAGATTATGGTCAAAGAGATTTAGTGATAGATTAAACTGATAACTAGGTAAGTATTCTTACTGTCTTTCTCATTGATTGATCTTTACTTTAAACCATTATCCAATAAGCAAATATTCTTGTAAGAAAGGTTGTTTCAAAAATTTAAAGGCCAGGCCAAGTGTGATGATCCATTTCTTTGTTTTGAGTAGATACATGGTTATAGAATTAATAATGCATGGAGCAAACGATAGCCACCAGAAATTGAGTTTTAACTCGATCATTATTTTTAAGCTTGTTACAACCAATCTCAGTAGCTATGAGGACAAAATGTGAATTAATTTGGTGTCACATTTTGTTCTTTCATTTGAAAATTTTACTAAAATTATTTTTCAGATCATGACCAATCATACACTGATGTAACATTTCAAAACTGACTCGTCTTGATCCACCCACCATGATGTCTTAAATTAACCAGCAGCATCAGAACTTTCAGGATTGCAGTTGTTGTCAAGGCTGTTTATTTGGCAGTATTTCAGAACATGACATGCAGACTGGCAATGATCTGGCAAGGATCTTTTAACCATCAAGTATAGTGTCAAACAAAATTCCAACCTTGACAACATCTAATCCTACTGCAAAAAAAACATAATTTTTTTTACCTTTCCCAGCTATAGGTGGAAGGTTCATGTTTTGACAACAACAGAAATGTTAGTTAAAAAGTGGAAAATTCAGTAGTGTTAAGTCACCTTTATAATTCATAGTAACAGAAGTAAAGAAAAGAGAATGAAGATGAATTTATTTCTGTTACTATTAGTTATAAGGTTGACTCATTTTCATTATTTACCTAAATGAAAATACAAAAGAATTATTGGGCCTTGTTCTCAAAAACTTAAAAAAAGACAGTTTGAACTAAATACATTAACCAAAATGGTTCTTTGAACGAAATTCAAATTTATAATTGACCAATTAGATGAATAGAAAATTTTAAGTCTTTTGATTTTTGAGAACAAGACCCAAGACATAACCCAATATGACAATAAAATGTATAGTAATATGCATTTTGAGAAAAGCTTGTGTAAAATTCTCAGGTATGTGAACGTAGCTTTTTGCGATCACACAACAATGTAGATTACGAACACAGCTTTGAAGACTGATCTGACATAAACACCAAGTAATCGAGTATATGATATGGTATTTTCATTTGATAAACAGAAGATGTACATATAAATTAGGTCTGAAGTATTTCAGAAAATGAAAACTATTTTTTTTGTGAATATTTCAAACATGATAAGATATTAAAATTTTGATTGTATTTTGATATTTGTGAGGAAATTTTCACAGAAAAAAAGAAAAGTTTTTAATGATTAAGGTTCTTATTTCATTTATTATTTTTTTATGTATTGTTTGTTTTTTTTCCACACTGTTTAGAAGGGTGTCAGCAACTTATAATTTTATATTATAGATGTTAAAAACTGCAGGAGTGCAATCTACAATAATAATAAAACACAATAATTACACTTATAATGATGCATTATACAATAATTGTTACAAAAATTGAAAGATATACAATATATATATTTATTTATTCCCATAATCTTTATAAATAAACAACAATTTCAACTGTTTGTAAAGAAATTATATCAATAATTAATACATATATAATTTTGACAAATGTATTTTTGCAGAAAAATTTTATTTTGTTTTTCACAATCTATTGTGAAATTTGGATTGTGCTCCATTATAGTATGCGTTTTCTTTTTTTTGTGCTTGTAATCACTTTGCTTAATATTATATTCCACAGCTTTATCCCACAAATCTGTTCTCCAGTTCTCCTCAAATAAAAGGACATGTAAAGCCATTGGTATGTCTTGTCAAAGTAACAGATAGTACAAATATATAGATTTATTATAAAACTGAATCTGAAAAAAATCACTATTTTGTGAGTTTGATAAAATTAAATATGCAGTGAAAATGAGGATATCTTTTATTCAATGTTTATTCAAAATCATTATAGTATTAATATTACTTATGCTTTAAATAAAAATGTTGTAAAATTATTAATTAGTAATTTGATTGAATTTGTGTGTAGTGTAACATTTAACACCCATTTTGTTTCCTACTTCATGACCTCGGCCAGTGTTTTTTTGAGAATACTATTCTCATCTCACTCTCACATGGTATCAATCTGCGTTTTCGCCACTTTCATGGTCTATATGCAACTGACAGAAATAGTTCTTTTGTTGTTTGTTTTGCACTGCAGTAACTTAGTTGTAACTCAAGAAGTTGTCAATTCAAAAGTTCTTGTTTGAAATTCCAAGAGTGGAAATCGAAAGAGCTGTTTTACTGGATTTTACAGAAACCATAAGACTTTCTATAATTTACCTCTTTTGAAAAACTCCACAGAATTTTCATCCTTACAACAACAATAATAAACGGGGTTGGGGGTCGAAGATTTCAAAATGCAGAATTTAGTGGCCTTGACATAGCCTTCTAATATGGGGGGGGGGACGAAATATCTGAGATTGCCCGAATTTCCAATCAAGTTATGAGATTTTTGCCCTAAAAACTTGCTTTCGGTGCTGCGAGGGGAGGGGGGCGAGGCTGACCCCTTTGTTCCCCCTTTGGCTCCGCCACTGATGAAAAAGCAAAGAGTAAGAGGATGGTTTCTCTTGAAGTTTATAATAAATAACATTAATTAATTACATGAGTTTAATGCACCAATAAATAGTGAAATATAAAAGGAATAAAATACATACAATACAGTTATCTGAGTCATGCACCATTAAATATCACAGCATTGTTCATTATTTATTTATCCTATAGTCATTGGATTTCATAATAATAATTAAAGCACTATTAGTTTAGTTGTCTTTTACTTTCCCTTATCTACAACCACATTCTGAGGCTATCATTTCTTCGTGATGTCGTACAACAATTTCATCAAATTCATAATACAACATACTTAAAGGATTGAGTTTGGTTGGAACACAACAGGCGGGTGGTGCGGAATTCTTTCGTTTAGATCTCATTAATGTTTGTAACATAGCATGGTTTGTTGGTTTGTATTTAACATCAATTGGTGACGCACATTCACCGTAACAAAATCTAGCATTGAATTTTTTAGGGTGAATAATCCACTGTCCCCATCCAATTGAATTGAAATCTACTTCAAAATCGTGGAGTTGACATCCGCTGTTTCTTTTGCCACCTCGGTTCCATTTCCGCCTGTTTCTACTCTGCCTGTGTCGTTTCTGTCGAGATCGAACTGTATCTGGTTTAACTTGTTCAGTCTGTATTTCGTCAGTATAGGATTTATAAACATTTGATAAAAATTCACCATCTTCCAGATAAAACACAATCAAAGATTTTGGTCCTTGTTTTCTGGATAATTTAAGTTTCTTAGGTACTTTAATATGGATAGAGATATTTCCATGATAGCCATTTATCCAGGGACTGACTATCCGACTAACGTCAATAATTTCGTATTCATCTTCAGCTTTCGTTATATCTCTTATTATCAACTTCTTTAATACAGAATCTCCTCTTTTAACTTCCACTTGAAACCTTAATTTTACTCCTGCCTTAGATTTCACTGGATGGCGTATAAATCGAATTTCTGCTGATCGAAGACGTTCATTCTTAGGTAAGTGAGGAATAGAAAAATATAAATGTTTGTGGGGCTTCCTTGCTTCCAATATTTCAGCTGAAATGATAAAATGGAAAATCATGAATATTAAAATGAAATGGAATCTGGATAAATTTTTACAGAAAGTAAACAATTTGAAGAAAAGAAAATGAAATATGCTAAATAATTAAGACATGCTGTAAGAAGTTACTCTCAAGATGTACAATAATGAATTTTAAATTTGTAAGCTGGAAATGATAAATAGTATATGCCTACCTTTGGATGAAAAACTACGAATAGTGTCAGATTGAGCGATGTCTACTTTCTCCCAGGATTTTCCCGAACTCTTGGCTACACTCTTGCCCTGTTGTAAATCATTGAATAGTTTCACCATAAAAACAGTTGACGCTTTCTGATAGTCGACCACAGATCTTCCACTGCTGTAAAATAATTCCAATATTTCCTCTTCTGGTGCCAGTAATTTTTGGTTATCTGGTGCTATAAAGTTGGATTTATCTGGTATAGTCGGCCATCCTTGTAAATTGATATTCCTCGTCAGAACTTCACCGATCAACATCCAAATACAACTAAACACATAATATACATTCATCTTCCTTTATATACTGAGTAAAAACTTGGTATCATTAATGTTATTGCTTGTTGCTTTCTCAAGTGGTTGATGAGAGCAGGTATGGTTGTGTTATGACCTTGTTGAGATACAGAACAGGTTATATACACCCCTGTCCTTTACTTGCATTAAGTGGCATTAATTTCTGTACAATAGCTACCTGTTATCATTGAGACGGGGGTCGTGGATTAAGGGACCTTGAGTTCAGATATTTAACCCTTTCCGTCCTAAATCAGACACTCAACTTACTATAAGTAGGTAGAAGTTGAAATAATCACCGTGAAACAATAGAATCGTTTAATCATTATAATAGAATCGATTAGGAGAATCGATTGATTTTTATTGTACCTGGATTTAACCAATAAATAGGAAAGTAAACACCGGGGTACCTGCCTTATCCCCACATCTGAGCGGTTTGTTTACCCTTCTTTAAAAGTTTTGTTATGCAAAATATGTCGTTTGTCTGGACCAAGATTGACAGATTTGGACCAACCGATATTTCAGTAAAAACTTTCAATTTTGTTAGGGCGGGATCGAGACAGTACCCCCAGGGATTGTAGACATCTCGATTGCATCTGATGAATAAGGTAAAGTGTAGAATTATCTCAACATCATCTTGTCTAATTTTGCACGCGACTTCACCAATTAAAAGTTTTCAATCAGCGATTACATGATGGTAGATAATGAAGATGAATTGAAAGTGATAAGAATCGAACTCGCATCCTTTTTCTTGTTAATAGATCTGAAAGCGATAAATAATCATTTAATTTCTTGAAATGTAACGCCCATGGCTCACAAATAACAACCTTGGTACATCATCCTTAACAAAATAAAGCAGTTTAACAATAGATGGATTAGGAATCATCGTTTGCCTTAATCCAACCTGACCAAAGATGCCCCGTGGACACAGTCAGTTTGATTACTTTTTGGACGTGACAAACAGACTGGGTTACAGTGACGAATGACTTTCATATCGCTAATGGCTTCACAACAAATGTGGTATCTTTCTCTATTTGAAAATATTTAAAACTTAAAGTTGTTTATTATAACGAGTCTCTAATTACTTTTAATTGCAATTAATAAAAAACATAAATCACAATTATTCTATAATATAACAATATCATCTTTGGTAGAGTATGAATCTTACACTTGGTTTCAGTTGTTCGAGATATTTGAGAAGAATTGAAATATCACAGTTTCAATCCAAAAGGGATTAGATATTTTGGAAGGAATAATGGAAGGTTCTGTCGTGGGAAATTCAATTTGGGACGTTTAAATTGCATTTAGTGAAATATTAAATCTTATTATTTATAGAATATATTTTAAAGAACAACTGGATTATCGTTAATCTGTAATCTGTTTGGTGTAGAGATTGAGATAATCTTCAAAACAGTTCCTGATTTAATTATTGCTTCGACATGTTTTTTTTCTTTGAATTCAACGTCTTTTATTGCTTCTCGAAACATTCAGATTATTAAGGTAAAAATCTCTATAAGGTTGTGGATCATTTTCTGCATTCCATTTTGAAGTAAATACCTTCCAGATGAATAATCGATCTCCGAACATTCTGTAGATCAGTTGGACGTAACGTCCTTTGATAAAATCTAATGAGATGCGTATAAATCAATACCTTGAAAATTGACTGAAAATGGAGACTTTTTCCCATTTGTTGAATTTCATTCACAAATCAGCTTATTAAATCCAGAGAAAGTCGTGGGAAAATTTAAGAAAATTATATTTGGGACGTTTTAATTGCATTTAATGAAACGTGAAATCTTATTATTTATAAAATATATGTAAAAGAACAACTGGATTGTGTTAATCTTTAATCTGTTTTTAATCGCAATAATCTCCAATACTGTTCCTTGTTGCGGTTGCCCTTCATAACTAATGTCGGAGATTGACACAGGAATTTTGGGTATATGCTTTGCCTTTACCACGATAGCACTCGATGTGAAATTTGGTTAAAGATTTCTCTTATACGTTCGCTCGTGATGACTTGTAAAAGTAAGATGCCATGGTTAAAACGATGCAGGATTGATTTTATGTGCCAGCTTATAAATTTCTTAATATGAACAGACCTGAAGGTCATATTGTATCTTGAAATAAGCATCCGATTCAAAAGCAATTGGGTTGTTTTGTTTTGTCCTACTTTATTTTGAAGGGCGAGGAGGGGGGGGGGGGGGGGTTTGGGGGGGGGGGGGCAGAGATATTCTCCGTCGTGGGAAAGTTAAGGAAATATAATTTAGGAAGTTTTAATTGCATTTAGAGACACATAAAATCTTTATAAAATCTGGAACATCTGGATTATCGCTAATCTTTAATCTGTTTTTATATTGAGATAATCTCCAGTAATTCTGTTCCTCACTGTTCCCAGTCTGAATAATCAGAATCTGACACCTACCTTCAGACTTGATGTCTAACATATATTATGCAACATTCCAAGACAGGAACATTGTGGTCTGGTAAATATGTCAGAATAGATTATTAGTTTTGGACTAACTTATCCACAAACAGACTGCTCAAATTTTAGTTATCAATATCATTGACTCAGTATGTGCTGTTGAATAAAATTGTTTTGTCCATTTTGCTAATCAAATCTACACAGTGTACCCGCAAGTTTTAAATGAATTTTTTTTTACGATGCAATAATTTTTTTCTAATTATATCATTAATTTAGTATTAATATTATGTGAATTATCTTGTTGTGTTTGACTCTTAGTTAGGTTTCTGTCAGTTTAATTAACAAATAACATGGAGCTTTATTTCTCCAACTATATATTCAGAGCATTCGCCTGGGAAAATTTAAGAAAATTATGTTTGGGACGTTTTAATTGCATTTAGTGAAATATGAAATCTTATTATTTATAAAGTATATTTAAAAGAACAACTGGATTATCGTTAATCTTTAATCTGCTTTTGTGTAGAGATAATCTTCAGTGCTGTTCCTTACTGTTTCCCTGTTTAAGTCGTGTTACCGAAAAGTGTTTGCAACTCTGGGAGAGAGTCGTCAATTCAAGTTAGAATATCAACATTATAATTGTCATGGTCGCCGATTGAAGATGGACAAACAGTCTTTATGTTCTCGAATATTGCTCAAATATTATATTCAAAATGGCATGTCTCATAAGTAAGCCATAATCTTCAGCGTCTACTGCAGTCTAAAAGCCATATGTTGTCCTGTCATTGCAATTACTGAGTAATTTTCAGAATATTAGAATAATCATGTTGTTCTGAAACATTCTAGACACGTAACGGTTAATTTGATTTATAAACTGATCTTTAAACTTCAGATCTGATAGTCGCCATTCGTGGAAATTTAGATTCTATAAGCATTGAAAGATGATTTACGACACCAAATCCTTCAGCAAATTCTAATCGCTATCGACTCAGCCAGCCTATTGCTGTGATTTGTGATTCTAAATTATTTTCGGTGAGAAAATGTTTCTGTATTTTATGCAAGACATGTAAATTGCATTTAGTGAAATATAAAATCTCATTATCAATAAAATATATTTAAAAGAACCACTGGATTATAGTTAATCGTTAATCTGTTTTGTGTGGAGATAATCTCTAGCAATACTATTCCTTTAAAGTGTCTTTCAGAACTATAGGCCTATAATATGTATTATTTTTATGTTTCAGCGATAATAATACAGTTTAATACCAAACTCATTATATATTTCTACATTTCTAGACTAAAGGCGATGTCCCTATATAGGTAATTCTAAATATATAATTTCTAAACTTCTGTAAAATATTCATATTCTGATGTCAATAAACTCACAAGTAATGCAGTGGCGGGGGGGGGGGGGGGGGGGGGGGGGGGGGGGGGGTATAAAAAAATATTACTATTACTA